GGGCGCGGCCGCGGGGTCCCGCGGGGCTGCGGGAGGGAGCGGCGCTGCCTCTCCCGGGGCGGCACCGGCGGCCGGGGCTCTGCCGCATTTCACCCCAAAAGGCGGCTTGGGAAGGGTAGGGGCTGCTCCCGCTCTTCCTAAATATCGTTCCGTGTCTTTGCACGGGTCCCCAGGACTGTGCTGACCGGTAGGAGCACGTGTGACATACAACAGGCAGCCCCCACCCCTGTCGGGATGGACACTGACAGCTCCCAGCCCCGTGTCAGCATCACCTGCCCGGCAGGGAGCACTGAGCCCTTCTCTCGGATTTAATTGCTGCCTTACTTCTCAAAGCCCAYACGAAACTCTCTTATAAGAACCAAACAAGTTACTCCCCATCTCCAATAACCYTTCGCAGGTGATGGCTCACCCTTATATCCTGCTTTATTTCCCATATCCAGGTTTACATTGCTGTGACCRAAGAGGAAGCAGTGTGGTGTCTGCTATAGCAAGTTCAAGATGCTGAGAGAGAATGTTCCTTTGATTGCTTCTATTGTAACCAAACTACATCACAGCATGGAGAAGACTGACCCAAGGGCTACAAAGGGGAAGCAGAAGAGCAGGCACTGATCCCTTCTCTCTGATGACCCAAGGGAAGGGTCTGAAGTTGTGTCAGGGGAGGTTTTAGGCTGGATATTTGCAAAAGGTTTTTCCCTCAGAGGGTGGTTGGGCACTGAACAGGCTCCCCAGGCAGTGGCCACAGCACCAGAAGAAAAACCTGACAGAGTTCAATCAGCACTTGGACAACACCCTGGGGTGTCCTGGGCTGGGCCAGGAGCTGCCTTCAGTGCTTGTTGTAGGTCCCATCCAGCACAGGATATTCTACAATTTGAAGCCCTGGGCACTAGATATTAGATTAGATGGTTAGATACTAGGAAAAAGTTTTTTTATGGAAAGAGTGATAAAGCACTGGAATGGTCTGCCCGGGGAAGCGGTGGAGTCATCATTCCTGGATGTGTTTAAAAAGAGATTTGGATGTGGTGCTTGGTGCCATGGTTTAGTTGAGGTGTCAGGGCATGGGTTGTGCTCAAAGATCTTGARGGTCTCTTCCAACCCTGGTGATTCTGTGTTTCTGCCAGGTGCAGGACAGAGCTCAGCATGTTTTTCAGTTCCTTGCAGCTTGTGAAGTTCCTGCAGTCCCAGTTAAGTGTTGGGCTGCACACACGTGGAGGAAGGAATTGGCTTAACCACGTGCCCTGATTTGAGGACTGAGAAGAAAAGGGGCTGAGGGAGCCACGTCCACAAAGAAAGCTTTGTGAAATCCAAACAGGCAACTCCAGATGTAGCATGAACTACAAAAGGGAACATTCCAGAAAAGAAGGGATAAAATATCARTGTCATTTGAAGAAACCTGCTAAGCATGTGTGATAAGAGAATTACACTCTGCATAGGGTCCTGTTACATAAGATACCTAAGTATAATGCTAGAATAAACCTCAAAGCATTCTTTTGTTCTTTAGGATCAGSTCTACCTTTAGAATCCTAAAAACAGGCAACAAAAAAAAAAGAGTTTAGTCTGAAAAAGAAAGTGCTTAGAGTGAATGTAACAGCCTCACTGGTAACAGCCTTTACAGCTTTGTAATATGTGTTTATGCAAATGGTGATTAATTAATTTTCCTCCATGTTCACTACAATAGAACTGTGCTATTTGCAGCAACRTTAATTTACTTAATAAGAGAATTTCACAGTTAACAATTTGGCCTTATAACAAACAGTAAAATCCCCTTTACTGTAGGATTTCCAGTTATTCTGGAGGTGATACCTACATTGACACCAAACTCTACACACCACAGATCTCCACTGTCATCCAAAACATCTGGAATTTTTTCTCATAACTCCCATAATGCTGTTTCAACTTCAATTTGAAGGCTGCAAAAACCTCCAGATTGAGCACAGCTGCTTACAGGAGCATTCCCRAGCTGGTATTTGAATTTAATTTGTCCAAGTGCAGCCTTTTGCACTTGCTTTRACTTAATTAGACCTTGTTGATTTCTTTAATAAGAATAAAAAATAAACTGTAAAATGTCTTTCACTTAGACAGCTTCCAAGTGTAAAAGACTGGACATGGCACTCAGTGTCATGATCTGGTTGACAAAGTGGTGAAATCAAAAGTTGGACTCGATGATCTCAGAGGTCTTTCCAAGGTAATTGATTCTGTGATTCTGTAAACTAATGTCACCTCTAGGTGTCTTAGGTTTATTTTGCTTTTCATCACTCATTATCCTTGCAAATACTTGAGCACTGGTTCAAGTCACCATTAAGAGGATCTTCTGGCTTTGCCARAGAAATGGTGACTCCTTTTGGATGAGCAGTTGTGTATCTGCCTCAGAGAAGTTACAGCCAAAGTATCTCCTTATTTCTGAATACTGTAACAACATCCAGATACAGTGATATTGCCTCACTCCTATCCATCAGCACAGATGGAAGTTAAGACTGGCATTACAGAGATTAAAGTTTCCTTGCAGCCTTCAAYTACTGTAGAAGCTGAGGCTACAAGCAGGAGAGAATTTATATCTCAGAAAATCTACTACTACTATTTGGAAGTCCAGAATTATTGTTGTGTTTTTTTTAAAATGACAGCTGCTTGCTTCAATGAAGCATTTTAGGAAGTCACTCTCYTGTTTTCAAAGCCTGTAATTGCCCTTCAGACTGCAGCAATAGATTCTTTCTTTTAAAGATTACACCAGCATTATGAAACTCTGCTTTCAGCTGCCTCTAAATTCTAAGGATTATTGTTTTGAAACATTACCATGCATATAGTCAGCAGTTCTAAGTTTATTCTTTAATCATAACTCCCATTTTACATCTGTGTAATTTTATAAACAAATTACAGAACATTTGTTTTCATGATTACAATATTAAAATAACTGCTAGTGGAATGCATCCATCCCTGTGCCTAGCCAAGGCTTTGCATGCTTTGTAAATCATTTGCAGAGAAATTATGTCACTGAGCATCAAAAATGCAGACAAATTCCACTGCTACTAAGCTCTTGGGATGGCTCAAACATATATGGAAAAAAAAAAAAAATAAAAAGATGGTCATGTTATGAAAAAGTGCCACTGCAGGGAACAGCACTAAACATGTTCCCTAAACATGTTACTGAGCAAAAACTGATTAAATTTCCTTGGAGGTCTCTTTGATGTCTCTTGTACCTACTCACCAAAAATTAGGAGCAGAAATGCACAGAGGCAGTGCTTGTGCTGGTAACAGAAAAGCACATGCATTGTCAGTCAGAAAACCCAAATAAATCCAAATTGTTCAAATTTGAGGGAAATTACACCTCCAAAACTATTATAGCCACAGATGACTACTTTTAAGCAGACCAAATCTGGGACATGTTCTATCCAAGCCAAAGAAACTTAGAACAAAAAGTGAAGTAGAAGAATGAGCTGTAAACCAGAAAAAAGGGTATTTACTACATGCAAGTATGCTGATTTTAACTGTATTATTACCATTATCAGGCTTTTTCTGTTTAGTAGTATTCTTTTTCTATTCTAGTTAGATCTGGGCTAATAATGACTTTTGAATTAGACTATAAACTTGGGTTATTCAACTGAATATTTGATTGCTCCTTTTACAGCACATTAAGGTTTGGCTTTATTACAAAGAGTTTCCTCTTTTCTCATTAACAAGGCCAAGTGCAACACTGGCACTTCATCATCAGCTTTTCCAGTGTCCAAACTCCTTGTCATTCAAACCTGTTTCTCCTTGCCAACCAACACATTTATTATGGAAACCTTACATATAAATTATTTTATTAGCTCCATTTAAAAGTTTTCTTCTAGCTAAGAGAASTTCCTCTGGCCTTTGAGAATCATAYTTCCAAAATAATTTATTCAACTTAGATCCTTTTTGTATTCAAAATATTTCAAATTTCTATTTTATATTTGTTCTCGTAGAAAAGGATTCTTCAACTCCTTTGGCCTTTCTTGAAAGAAYAGCTGTGATCAGTTGGAGAAATTCCAAGTAGAGTAACTAGCATCTTCCAGGGCTGAATGACACAAATKCCAGAGGTTTTAGTGTTTACAGAAGACACTCCAGYKGATGATTCTCAGTCCATYTGCTTCTTCTGCTGCACTGSTGTCAAGCAAACATTTCCCCATCCTGCCCCTGTTCTCAGTATTGAGATCCATGTTTATTTCCACACCCACTTCTTTCACTCCTCTCCAATTTATAAAGATCATTTTGAATTCCAGTCCTGCCCTCATACATCTAAGGATTATCTGCTGAATTAATAAACACATTTACATCCCTCCCTTTGGAAACACAGTAACTCCAGCTCTGCTGGAGCCAGGGTACAACAAAAGGCTTATCACAAGTTCCTTTCCACATGTTTGGGATCAAACCATGATAAACAGAGAAGTTACAAACCATAAAATGGAGCAAGTCAACTGTGAAAAATAATTTATTGTACTCATTTTCAACAGTCAATAACCCTATGTTCAGAGATAAATGATTATAAACATGTCTTAGATGTGCAAATATTTTCTGAGTCTTCTCTTTCCATCTCAGATGGGACACAGCAACTTTGTATCCCACAAGCAGCATTCACCATGTGAATAAAGGCACCAGGTGCTGCACCACGAGACAGCTGAAGTATTCCAGTCACCACAARCATTCCAGCATCACCTGTGGTTCTGGTCCCAGACACTTCTTTTATGTTCAAAGGTATCCAAAACAAGCACTTGGTGTTACCTTTGACATTTTCATTTTGTCATTAAAATGAACATTAGCACTTCTCCAACTGGATCCTCTAACGTCGTCTTCTCCTCTTGGGGAGAGATACTTCTGAAAGAAAATAAAGAGAGGGTTTTTTTCCCACAGGCTTTTAAATCCATCTTCCCACCTGGGAATGGTTCAAGGAGAATTAATTCTATCCAGCACTGGAAATTAACCAGATGAACTCTTGAGATCCCCTCCCAATCCCTCTCCTCATGGTTTTTAAATATGAAAATCTTTCTAGATTCACCAGCACACTATCATTCAAAGTATCAACTGATCCTCCTTCAAAACTTCATCCATCCTAAGAGATTTCTGGTCCTCACAAACACCTTTCAGATTTAGCTGTGAATTTGACAAATTGAATACTCACAAAATATCTGAAGAGACTGCTTATGGGTATTTTTAATGCTTCAGAATTTACTGGAAAATTCTGACAAATGGACTATGTTCCTGATTTAAAAAGAAACTTTTCATCCACAACAGCGGACAAGTGAAGAGAAAGTTAACAAAGAACAGTATTAAATGCACCATGAAGCCTTCAATCTGACCATTTAAAATTGAATGAATTCCCACTCTCCACAACTAAAAGTGACCAGAGAATGTAATCTCACTTCAGCATTATAAGATGCTCTAAAAGRAGCAAGTATAAATGTGCTACATGACTAAACATATATTTTAATAGTTATTATGCTCTGTTGTATGAAATATCCTTCCATTACAAGCTATTTTGGATAGTAAATTAACTGCACAAGATACACTCCTCATGATCAGCTAAGTCATCAAAGCTTTCCAGAAGTTGTACTTAACCCTCTGCTCCCCCTTTAAGCAACCTAATTAAATCCATTTTTCAGGGTAAGAACCAAGAGCCATCTAATTAATTCCTCTTTTCAAGCTAAGAACCAGTACCCCTGGTCTACCAAGTTTGCCTTCCACTCTGTAAGCAAAACCCATCAGCCAGTGGAAACCCTGCCTTTGGCTGGCCAGCTCMTCTCCCAGGAACACCTTCTGTGTTTGAGACATGGCACCAAAGCAGTGCCCTGGGCTCTTCTCAGGGCACTGATAAATAAGCTATCTCAAGATAAAGAGGATGAAGTTTTCTTGCTGCTGTGCCATGTTCTCCTCAGACAACTGAGAACAGATCCTGAAGCTTCTGAGTTGCAGAGCAGCTCAGTGTCATCCAACATCTCAATTTTGTGCTTCTGCAGAGCAGTTCCACTTTAAGCTTTGAGCAATCTGCTTTACCAGTGCTTCCCAATTAAAATTACATTATTTCCAGTGAGTGAGTGACAGCAAAGTCATCCATTCCCCTGSTGCAGCTCCCAGAGTCCTCCTCCAWYGATCTCWCACAACTTCTAGTRCAGCAGAGGATGCTATTGCTGTACTGGAGCTCAATCCCTGAAACACTGCCCAGCTGAAACAAAGGCTAGAGGGAAACCTTCTCTGTCCCCTCAGCAAAGGTGAGGGCAGCAAGAGCTATTCCTTCCTAAGTTCCCAGAGTTACCAGAACAGGCTAGTGGGTGAGTGACCAAAAAAAATCTTTTCCCTGTACAATGAACTCGAGACAAATGTGTATTACAGAAGAGTGAGACTCCTTTAAACGACCAATTTTAACTCTGAACACATTCTGATAAAATCTGTGTAGGATAACACRACTCTTGGGATTTTGCTGTGRTGTTTCAAATCAAAACTTCAATTTYCATGCAACAGAATTTACAGGCTAAAACCAAATCTAGCTTTTGCAAGGCAGCACGATATGATCCAAAATATCAACTTTAGTTYCAGAAAAACACAGCAGAGGGATATTTAAAACCAAATCACTGGTTTGCCAGAGTTCCAGTCACTGTACCTCCTTCATCAGAGTTCTCTTCTGTGATTACTGGCATCCCGATATGCCGAGTAGCAGGTTCCTTTGACACTTGCTTTTCACCTGCAGGCAGATTTTGAGGAAAAAAAGTCAGCTTTTTTCTTCTTCTACATGCCTCACCTAGCAGTTAAAAGAACTGTTCACTTGAGTTCAGAAGAACTGTTCAAAAGAATTGTTCAAAAGAACTGTTCACTAAAAGAACTATTCTCTTGAGATTCTGGTCAAATGCTGTAGAMAAAACTACCTTACACAGTACCTTCATGGATCACTAAAAACCTTCAATAACAAGTAACTAAACTACCAATTTAAAGCAAATTAATCAGCAACTCAGTCCAGTGATAATTCAAAATGCCCTTATTGCTCCTCAACACTCATCTACTCTTCTAAAGTCAAGCAAARGCAACACTGCCCAATGCTCATCTCTGAAGAGGGAGTAATTTTCACAATAACTTTTTTTCTAGCAGAGACTAAGCAAGCCTGAAAACAGAGTTTGGAACTTTGAAATTAAATCCCCATCTTCAACATAAAGATAATTCAAAACCATTTTGCTGTTTAATTTTATTTAACCCGTAACAAATAAGGAGTAAACAAAAAATGTAGATGGGAGAGCATCTTCTATCGGTTGAGAAACTGGATAGCAGAATTTCCTTAGGAAAAGTAATTTCCCAAGTGTTCCACTGAACAACAGTGAAATTTAATCCAGCTGCCCCAGTTAGCAAAGCAATTTTGTAGCCTTCCAGGTTCCTGGATGCAATGAAGTACCTCTGACTTCTGAAGAACCTCTTCTCYTTGCTGGCTGTGGTCTCCTGCTGGTTTTTTTACTTCGACTTGCAGACTTCACATAACTGGATCCTGGTTCAGAGGATTCTAACTGTACTTGACGATGTCTCCTTGATTTGGAAGCCTACAAACCAAACACGTGAATGACACAAAAAAAGCTGATCTTGCTGTGGGTCACTTAACAAACCAGAAGGGACCAAAAAACCAACTTGGCGCAGGGTGGAGAAAGCAGAGAAGGGGAAAGAGGGGGGATGGATTCCTACTAGTTGTTGTTCTTCAGTTTTAACAAGACAACACCCTTCTATGATTTAATGAATGTTCAACTTAAAATGCAGATAATGAAACATTCATTAATTCCCAAACGGTTCTCTGTTACTACCAATCCACACTACGTTGCACACCTCTATGCTAAAGAAACACTTCCAAAACCTGCTGCACTGCAAACCCTCCTTACCATCATATTTTGCTTAAGTGCCTAGAAACCACCATCACAAGTCTGCACTATGAAAAAATCCAAAGCTCCATTTCATTTAATAACTCATTTCCCAACGTGAGATGTTAATATACAAAGAAAGTTGTTTCTCATAGGCTTGCTAAGAGAAACACAAACCAACAGTATTTTTTAAAGGTGAAGCTATTGAAACAAAGTTTCCATAAACTTGCAACTGACTTTAAACTCCCAAGTTCCATTTTCACAAGCATCTTCCAAGATTCCAGTATCTAATGTTCAAGGAATCTGAGCAATTAATCTCTCAGGTATTTTTATCCATCTCCCTGAAATTCCATCTACTTAAACAGAGCATAGACATTAACAGATACCTTGTAAATGAAAATCCTCCAAGCACAGGAGGTGCTTTATCTGCACTGTTCTATAAATCTAAGAATAAGAGCTTTGGGTTTCCCTGTGTTAGGCAAACTAAAACATTCAAAATTTTAAATACAGAGTGCAATTTCAACTCATTCCTTTTTGACCCAACATTTACATTAAACTGGTACTTAAAACTGTTCTTGAAAAACAAATACTTCCCTTTTATCAAATTTTATACCTACCTCAACAACTGCAGAGTATGACTTGTATTTGATTCTGGCCAGGGCACTTGCTCTTTCAGAACCCTGCAAAGAAACAAGAGTCCAGTCAGAAAAGGTTGTCTTATTCTATTACCAATACTGAAATGAATATCAYGTCAGACAATCACTTGAACAGTATTTCACTACAGCTATAACTCTATAATTAGTTCTGCATAATTTCAATACCATGAAAACGGTACTTAAAGAAAAAAAAGGTTCAAATTTCATTAAAAAGACAGAGCATAATTCTGKGTGCCTTCACTGTTAAAAAGCCCAGGAGGAGAAAAATCAAATTTGAAACTTCACATCTTACTCAAAGTCGAAATAAGCAGACAAGTACAAMATGAGACAAATTTACAGCATAAAAAATGAGTATTCTTTTYAGCTGAAACTAAATGAGGAGGAAGCATAAAGGAGTTTGGCCAAGAAAGCACAGCTCTCTTCCCTCCTTACCTGAGAAACACTTTTTATTATGATCATTTAAAAGGTATTGTACCAGTAAATGTCACAGCTCAAGAGAAAACAATGAGAGTTAAAAACAAAATCAAGCAATCAGCCCCACCAGCTGTCCCTGGAACTTATTTTGACACTATCAAGCTTTGACCTATACTGTTTAGCCTGAGATCTGAAATCAAAAAATAAACAGATTTGGCCTGTGCAATGCAGCAAAGTAGCTCATATTTCTTACCTCTGATTCTAGCAAAGGCCCTTCMTTCTTTTTGTTTTCTGTTCCATCAGTTTCTTTAGCATTTTGGAATAATTTCTGTGGGGGAAATACCGCATTTTTCTTTAAATATCTGTCATATACAAGACAGCTAAAATCCAAGAACTGTAAAAARCAAAACAAGTATTTACACACATGCCCATTTCCTCTATCTACCTTAACTGTGGCTTTTCTTTATCAAGGAGTATTACAGAGGAATTTCAGGTCAGATTAATACTGCCCCAAAATCACACCTTCAGGGCTCACCTTTCAGCAGTCCTTGTGGTATCCTAGAGGCAGGACCACACACAAGYCCTTTCCTCCATACCACATCTCTGCCTCAAGTTTTGCACATTCCATCCCTTCAGTGTTACAGCTCCTTCTCCTTCAGTCTCAGATTTTCCAGCTCCAAAGTAATCATACCAAGAAATCTAGTTCTTACATGTTCACCCAAACTGCTAAGTCACCATTGCACAGTGGTTGGTACCACTTACCATTCTGTTCTGCTGCCATTCCTGATGTTCCAAGGTTATGTCTTTGAGATTAACCACAAAGTCATCCTTTATCAAGCTCAAGGCCTTGTCTGGCTGGGATTTGTCAGCTGAAATGACACACTTCATTTTCTGATAGTGGTCGTGAATATTCATCAGTTCCTAAAGTTACAAAATAAAAATTGTGTCTTTTCAGGAAAAAAAAGATTCCACAGTAAAGCAATATTAGTCCTCCATGTACAAACCCAGGGTCTCTGAGGAGACCATTGGATCAGGAGGAATGTTAGAAACTGAACCTGGTTAGATCATTTGAGTTTTAGAGAGCCAAGAAATCCAGTTACCTAGCACTGACCCATCAATAAGCAAAAGGAGAAAGAATATCTTGCATTATTTAAACTAAGGTTACTTGGGGCCAGTGCTCACAGAGGGTTCATTCTCTTTATTTTCATCTCTTTGAAGWAAACATTTTACTTCACAAGAAACACTTCACGCAGTCAACCTTACTGACACACATTTGCAAGCAACACATTAAAAATCTGCAAATAAAGATCTATCTGAGGGATGTAAGAACCTTTACCTGGCTTGAATTACTCAYTTTTTTTTGTAACACATATCATATAATAAAATCCCCCAAGGTTTGAAAGGAGAAATAAAGGCGASAGAAGGCTACAGACTTGCAGATAAGTAAACTCATATTACCCCAAGTATCAATCCACCAGCTGCAACCTGCAGACTTATCAAAACAAATGTGCTTCCCCTCATTTTCTGTTTCTCTCTAAGTGACAATTAACCATTTACACCCTTTTAGATCTCACTGAGACAAAACCACAAAACATTAGAGCATATTTCAGTATTGAAAAAGGTACTGCAATTCTTCCAAACTTAATACCACATTTCTGAGTGTCTGGTAAAATTACAGGCTATCACCCTGGCCTGCATTGCACAAGAGACTTACAAGGGACAAGACTGTGCAGATTAGAGAAGTTTTGGGTCTTAGACAACAGAAGAATTAAAACAAAACAATCCCTATTGATTAACATGTAGTTTAAAARTTACTGTACCTCCAACATATCATTAGTGATGAGGCTGTTTACTCTGTTACTTGGGTCCTTAAAYTCTTCTTTAAAATAAATTTCCTCAACCTTCTTCTTAGTTCTGTAGGTCAGCTAAAACAAGAGACAACATTTGAAACCTAAAAGAAAACTTTAAATGGCACCTCCTCTTGAGAATTCCTACTGCATATCCATCAATCAGGAGATGGGAAATGCTGAAAGTCATAAATCCATCTCACCAACAACAGCTTTGCTGTCACACACTCAGAGTCAGCACTTTTTACAAATTATTCTCTAGTTAAAAATTCAATCCAGCACTCACCACAGTTTTATTTCTCCAGCTGGTAAGACAAATCTATTAGGAACATTAGATACTGAAAAAATATTTTCAGGTGAGAAGCCTTCAAACATCCTTTAAGCTCTTCATCACCTACCTGTGTAAAGCCACACATATTACATTTCAAAACAGCCTCAAGGCTCAGCTGACCATGAGTGCTGTTATACTTCCTTCAGGCATTGAAAGATGAAGGTATTTAAAAATGTAAGTAATTGATGTAATAACTCACTAGTTTTGGCATTGCTGTGAAATGGAAGGCTCTGGCAAGACGCAGTCTCCTAAAGATATATGCTGCATCATAGTGCTGGGAGTCAAGCAGATCCTGCTGAAATTTCTGGATCTCAGGCCAATCCTTGAGTGAGATTCTGATCTGCAACGAAAGAGTTATATGTGTTATACCAATATTTCAACAATAAAAATTAATTCAGCTGACTACCGTGATCTGACTACAGACAACACCTGGGTGTCCAGCATGTYACATGATTACAGAGCTGCAAAAAAGATCCCACTATAACATTTCTTATTACTATCATCATTTTATGGGGACAAGATTGTTATACTCTTGTGTTAAATTTTCTCACTGCAGATTTCTTTGATAGTGACATGGAACACAAGTCCTTTCTGACATTTGAAAACATTAATTCTTCACACTCTGAAGTGTGTGAAAAATAGTCTGCACCTAGGAGACTCCCATTCCCCAGTGATTAGGAAACCATACCCATACCACGCTGTGCTGCCACTGAAATGCTCATTTCTCTCTCCCTTATTTCTTCCTTTCTCTCCTGTCACATCCACTCTGCCCACTTCACTTTCTCTCTGCTTAAGTTCCTTACTAACTCATGTACTCTCTTACAGTTGCTATACAGCAGTGGCTTTAAAATTGCCAAAATTCATCTTCATGAAAGTTACTGATTTATCTGAGGTCAAAATATGAGACATCATGGCATCATTGTAGATTGTTTTAAATTTGGTTTGTTATTTAAGAAACTTGGACTCAATTTTGCATGTGCACACAAAACAAATTACACAGTTCCTAAACAAACCACTTCTCCACCAAGTTTCCATCTCCTTTAGATATTGGTCTCCTATCCTAAAAGCAGCAAGGAAGGATGTCATTCAGGCATACACCCTCTCAACACTTTTATGAGTTAGCAAGAACTGAATATAACTCAGTCTTCAATCTGCTGGAATTCTAAAGAATAACTCAGGCTGTAATGGGGCTCACCCCTCAGCTGATGAGCACATGATCTGTCCCCACCTCTTCCCAATAGCTTCCAATCTGGTTTTAAGTATTGTCATTTTAAGAAAGTAAGAGGAAATGCTCTAACCATTTCTGATGCCAAAGCAGACAGAGGTATACCACATACCTTATGTCTAGTATGTCCTGAGAATAAAAGCTCAGGAACAATTACCTTTTGTTTTGGCTGACAAAGCTGGGCATTATAGAGCCCATACAGTAGGTACAGAGCACCAACTCGGATCTGGAAGGCGTAGGGGGGCAAGAAGTATTGCTGAGCCAGTTCTAGAGTCTTCTTTGTGATCTTATTCCTCTCCAAAGCTCTCATCCTACCACTAAAGCAAACAAACAAACAAAAAAAAAAAAGCAGCATATTAAAGCAAGTAAATATAGAACTGTAGATTTTAGAAAATCCAGAATGCAGAAACAAAGCTTYAGATGTTTTAAAAACACAGAATCACTGAATGTCCTCAGTTGGAAGGGACCCACATGGATCACTGAGTCCATCCTGCACAGGACACCCCCAACAATCACAACCTGACAGAGCTCAAAARGAGTTTGGACATGCCTCTCAGGCACAGGGTATGACCCTTAGTATTCTGTGCAGGGCAAAGAGCTGGACTCCGTGATCCCTGTAGATCCCTTMCAACTCAGGATATTCCAAGATTCTGTGAAACATGCAATGTCCCGYGATCACACTTTTAAATCTCACCAGGATTACACCAAGCTCCCTGAGAAATCAGCGCTCAGATCACACACATTCCTTATGCACGAAATACACTGAATCAAAAATTCTTTTCCAGCATTTCTCAGGGACCGTTGCTTTGCTTTCTTCAGACCCCAGCCAGGCAAACCTCTCCCTGAGCGAGGCCTGAGGGAATGCACGGCTCAACCGCACCTCCTTTAAGGCTCCTTGTCCACCCAGGGGGACGCTCAGCAGCGGGGGCTGCGGGCCTGGAGAGGGGAAGGCGAGGGGAAGGCGAGGGGAAGGCGAGGGGAAGGCGAGGGGAAGGCGAGGGGAAGGCGAGGGGAAGGCGAGGGGAAGGCGAGGGGA